CCCCAAGCTTGGTCGCAAGGGTCCGGGGAAAGCCTGGGGAAGGATCCGGAGGGGAGTGGGGAAGAGACTTACGCTGCCAAAGTATTTGTCCAAGAGCTCCACATATCGGTGGATCAGCTCCAGCGTGATGAGCTCATTGTCCTGGCCCTCGATGGCGCAGCAGAAGTAGAGGCTGGCATATCTGGGGAGAGGGGCACACGTGGCGTAACCAGGAGGGCTGCCTAGGTGAGGGCGGCTTCATTCTAGGGGTGGGAGTGGGGGACCTCCTGCTGCTTCTCCTTGCCGGCCCAGGGACTGTCCCTACCTGAGCAGCACCGGCCACCACGTACTGGCTCCTGGACAGGGGCTTTTTCTTTTTGCCCCTCCCACCCCCCTCCCCAGTTCAATTTGACTGAGTAACCAAACAAACAAACAAATGAGCCAACTAATTCAACCTGCTTAGAGAAGGAGCCAGGAAGAATGTGTAGGTCTGTGTGTTGGGAAAGGGGGTGCCAGGATCCAGCACTGTTAATTCTGCACCACGAACCGGACGGGCAGAACTTCCGAGGGACAGAGGCAGGCAAGTGGGGCGGGTGTAAGACTGCAGCCACACCCAGTAGGGAACAGACGCTTCTTCAAGGCGACTTGGGCAGTAACAGAGGGTGGAGCTGGTCATCGACCTCCAGATGTCCTTAGGACCCAGCACTCCTGGACCTAACCTCAGAAAAGCCTCCGGGCTATCCAGTCCACTCTGCCTCGGAGCAAGGCCAGAGGACAGGGTAGAAGTGCTCCTGTGAGGCTATAACTCTTTACGGGAGCAGAAAGCCTCGGCCTTCTCCCATGGAGCGGCTGGTGAGATGGAACTGCTGCCTTGCTGTGCGAAGCCCAATTTGTAACCAGCTACACCATCCTGGCTTGCCGACCTACTTACTGCTATCAAGTTGATGTCAACTCACAGGGGGTAGAACAGAACTGCCCCAGTGAGTTTCCGAGGCTGTAGCTCATTACTGGAGCAGAAAGCCTCATCTTTCTCCAGCAGAACTGCTGGTGGGTTCGAACAGCTAACCTTGAGACTAGCAGCCCAAGGCGTAACCCACTACGCCACCACTCCTCTGCCACACTCCAGTTAAATAGGACCCAGGCAGGTCTGACAGTCGGTGGGGTGTCACCTCTTATAGACGACTTTGAGGTCCCTCCACTCCAGAAAGCTGCACATCTTGGGCTTGCGAGCCAGCACAACCTGCATAAGCTCCCGAACCATTTTCTTCCGCTCCTTGTCGGACGTGGCCAGGTACCACTTCTGCAGCCGCAGTTTCCCCTGCCGGCTGAACAGCAGCATAAATCGCATCTGGGGAGGGATGGGCAGAGTTGAGGGTCAGCGATTTGGTATCTAACTGACTTTCCTTTACAGCAGTGGTTCTCAACCTTCCTAATGCTGCAACCCTTTAATACAGTTCCTCCTGTTGTGGTGACCCCCCCCATAAAACTATTTTCTTTGCTACTTCATAACTGTCATTTTGCTACTGTTAAAAATCGTCATGTAAATATCTGATATTCAGGATGTATTTTCACTGTTACAAATTGAACCTCATAAAGCATAGTGATGAATCAGGAAAACAATATGGAATTATATATTGTGAAATATTTATTTCTAATGACAAATAAATGAAATTTTGTCTTGAAGCATGGTGTAGCATGGGTAACAGTTTTCACACCGGGTACTCATATGCGGGGGCGTATCCGCAAGTGGGTGGACCCGCCTGGAGATGGGTAGAGGAGCGGTGTCTTGGTTCCTAAGACCACTGGAATTATGTGTTTTCTGATGGTCTTAGGCGACCCTTGTGAAAGGATCATTCAACCCCCAAAGGGGTCATGACCCGTAGGTTGAGAACCTCAGCTCTGCAGACACACAGTCCCCAATGCATCGTCTGAATCCTCTCCACTCGCAGGAGGTTTGGTGCTGGCTTGTCCCACCCTGTAGGTACCCGGCCCTCTCAGGGACGTCAGACTTTCTCAGGCTGTCATTCAGGCTCCAGTCCTGACCCTGCTTGGACTTTATGTCTCTGGACTCCTATTTCCTTACCTGTAAGATGGAGCTCATAAAATGTCCATCTGACAAAAGTTGTGACACCCACTGCCACCGAGCTGACTCAGAGCCACAGTAGAGGGCGGAGGAGAAAGGCTCCAGGGCTTCTGAGGGGTTCCATCTTTACTGGACAGCCTCACCTGTCTCCTGAGGCTTGGGCCTCGGCCTGGCGCTTAGCACGCTGTACCACTAAGGATCCTCTGGAGAGGGTGGGTAGCCATGCCCGGCACACTGTCAACGGTTAAGCCCGTTGACTATTGTCTCCTGACTTCCTGCTTCCTAACCAGGCTCCAAAGACGTGTGACATACCTGGCAGTCTGACACACTCCAGGTAGTCATGGCCAAAGAGATGGTGGTTCTCTTCCACCTTCCTTCTGGCCATCATCTAGGTGACATGGGCACTTTGTGCCTCAAGAAGTTACTGCCACTCTGCACCCCATCCTAGTCTGTGAGCCCCAAACATGCTGCCCTTAGTGCCAGTCCTGTACTCAGGGGAGCCTTCTCCATGGAGGCTCGTCGTTTCCGGAACCCCTAAATCCCACTCTTTTCTCTCCAGGTATCTATCTGGCCTGGGATAGCGCAGGTCTCCTTACGGGCGTCTCCTTACGGGCCCAGTCCTCAGGCCCCCGGTGACCAGGCTCTCTTTGGGCTTCTCAAGCAGGCCAGGGCCAGCTGCGACCGCCTGTGGTCCACAGAGCAAGCTGGGTGGAGTAGGGAGGAGGGTTGGGCCCTCATTACTTGTGTCCCTCCCGTTGTTTCCCATTTCCTGGGGCGTCCTGCCACTACCAGAACAGCTCCTTCTCCCCGCAGCTCTCCTCTCTGTGGACATGCCCAGCTCAGAAATCCCTGATGTAAGGAACCCAACCCAACCCACTGCCAGGCAGTCCCTTCTGACTCCGAGTGACCCCCCCCCACAGGGCAGAGTGGGGCTGTCCTACCAGGATTCCAAGGCTGTAAATACTCATGGAAATGCTGGCCTTCTCTCTCCCAGTACAGGGCCCCTGGGTGCGTGGCACAGTGGGCTAAAAATCGGAATGCAAGGCCAGGAGAAAACTAGGCCTCCGGGTGTTGCTGCTGTGGGTGTGGGGGGCAAGGGACTGAGGGGTTTGGGGAACCCGCAGCGTCCTGGATGGGGGTGGAGGGTTGAACAGGAAGAAGGAAGGCCTGGATTCCGGAAAGAGAATGGGGAGCGGAGTGGAGACCAAAGAGCACTAGAACCCGGGACCCCGGAGCCTGGGTCCTCGTGAGCAAAACCTTAAGCCCCCTGAGCTGCCGTGCCTCAACGTGGCCTGTCGGGGAGCCGGGCCAAGACGCTCCCTCCACGGCCCAAAACTCTCCCCTCCCACGGCGGCCGCTCCGCTCGGGGCTGCTCCGGAAGAGCGGGTCAGGGTGACGGGGAACCCCTGCTCCCCTTTTCTTGCCCTACCTCCGCTTACAGACCCCGGCACCCTGTGCACCGAGCCACTTCCCTGCGGCAGGGGTCCCGACCCCTTGACCTGAGACCCGACCTTCCCCCTGGCTCGGCCGGTCCTGCCGGTGTCCCCGTCCCCTAGTCCACCCCCAATCGCCCCACAAATGCGCCTCCTTCCCGCTCATCCCGGCAGTTCCTTCCCAGGCCGCCTGGCCCACCCGCCCAGACAGGGGAAGGGCCCCGAGGACGACAAGGGAGAAAAAGCGGCTCCGACAGAGGGCGGCCCCCAAGGACCCCCGAAGGTGCAGCCCACGCCCCTCAGTTTCTCCACCCTCCCTCGCTTCCCTCTTCGCACAGCCTACCATCCTGCAGCCTCCGGCTCGGCGCGTCCCTCTTCGGCCACCGTAGGCGCCAGCCCGCCTCCCCCGCCCTCTGGCTGCAAGCCCCGCCCCGCTCGGCCGGCCCGGCGCGCTCCGTGCTGCGCAGGCGCCAACGCCGTGGGGCGCGCGGGCGGGGCTGGGGGCGGAGAAGCGGGAACCATGGCAACCAGGTCCTGGACTTCAGCTTTGAGTAGCGCTGTCGTCATGGTAACGTGGCTGACTTGTGGGTCGGTGGGTTGGTTGGTTGGAGGGCGGGAGAAGAAGACAATGAATGAGTCCTCGCTGTTTGGAACCTTGAAGGGGGGAAAAGGCGGGAAAAGGCCAGAGACGGTCTGGGAAAGTCTTTGGAATCTGTTGAGGAAGCAGAAGGAATAATGCCAAGGACGTGGATAATTAAGAGGGGGCAAGGTGGGAGCTGGATGGAGATCGGGAGGGAAAGCTCAAAATAACATCTATCGAGAGATTTATCTCAAAATAAAACGTCGCTGCTAGGTGTAGGGAATGCAGGCGGTGATAAACGGGAAAAGGCCGGTGTTAAGAGATAGAAGGATTTAGAACAAAGAGTGAAGACAATCGAGAGGATGTAAGGCATCAATTCTTCCGAAGGACTGGTGCACCCCGGGAATCCCCACTTCCACGACCCGGCCACCACCGCGGCCACTGTGAACGGGATCCCAACAGGAGGCCCCGGATACAGTGGGGAGGATGTGGGACAAACATTTAAATTAACAGGACCAATCATGAGAGTAGCAGCTACCAGGAGGGATGGGGAAAGGTGGGGGGAGTGAGGGGGAGCCGACCACAATGATCACATATAACACTCCCACGCCTCCACCCCGCTCCCCAGGGGAATGGACAACAGAAAAGTGGGGGAAGGGAGACAGCGCACGATATAAGATATGAAAATAATAATTGATAATTTATCAAGGGCTCATGAGGGAGGGAGGGAGGAAAATGAGGAGCTGATACCAAGGGCTTCGTGGAAACCTTAAGGATCTCACCATAGAGTGCTGCCTGACTGCTGTGCACACATTACTGGGAGGGATCCGTTGCCGGGGAATGAAGGCATGGCATGTGAGGTGGGGGTCTGCAAGGGCAAGGAGGCCTTGGTGGAATGAGTGGGCACAAGGGCCACCATCATGGACTTGAACTTGACAACGATGGTGAGGACCAGGCAGCATAGAGCCGCCTGTGTTTGAGCCAGCTGGATGGCAGCTGTCAGAGATGAGAGAAACTCTTGCACTGGGTTACACTGAGAAAGTAATGGGTCTTTCTAGATCAACGTTGGCAACAAATGATACTTTTTTTTTTTGTAGCACTTGAAGTAATTGTTGATAGAAGCTTACATGTCACTACTTTATGTTTTTCTTTTGTTTCTTGGACTTTCTTATGGGGTTATGTTCTAGTGACCAGGGGGTGGGCCGAGTTCACCTGTTAGGGAATCTTGTCTCTGACCCTTATTAGCTGTTTAGCCTCAGGTGAGTCCCTTAACCTGTCACTCTCCATCTCTCATTGTAAAGCTCCAGGATAACAATACCTGCCTTGCAAGGTTGTTCTTAGGGCTCAAAAATGCAGACTCAGACTCACTGCTGTTGGGTTAATACTGACTCATAGCGAGCAACCCTATAGAGCAAGGTAGAGCTGCCCCTGTGAGTTTCCAAGACCGTAACCGTTTACGGGAGTAGAAAGCCATCCCACCCTTGGAGCTGCTAGTGGTTTCCAACTGCCGACCTTGAGGATCACAGCCCAAATCGTAACCACTTCGCACCGAGGAGGCTCATATTTAGCATATTGTGACTTTGATAATGGTAGCTATTATCATTATTTCCCCTACCCCATTGCCCCAGAATATGTGTGCTAATCCTAACCTTATACCTCTAGTTATAATCCTATTTGATCCTTAGGGTTATGGTAAGAGAAGTTGAGGGCTAATGGGGAGCTAATAATACTGGGTACAAGAATGAAGAAAATATTCTAAAATTGATTGTGATGATGATCGTACAACCCTTTTAATATATGTAAACCATTGAGTTAGATGGAAAGTGGATTATATGTCAATAAAACTTTTAAAAATAACCCCATTTCAGAATGGGTTTTTTTGTTGTGTCAATGAGATAGTTATAGTGTCTTAAATCCCTCTTTCTCTCTCTCTTAAAACTCTCTGTTGTCACCAAACATTGGGTGAAGGTTTACAGAGCAAATCAGGTTTCCAGCTAACAGTTCGTACACGTTTTGTTACCTGTCCCTGTTGTAGTCCCCACCACATAGCATCACTCCTCCAACTTCCTCTTGGTGTTTCCATTCCCTCTCCCTTTTGAACCCTCTGGCCTTTGTCCTTGGATAACCGCTGCCCTTTGGATCTCAAATGGCCCGCCAATTATTCTGAGCAGTTCGTACCTCATTAGTGATATTACTCTGCTTATAAACATACTGCCTGTTGTTTGGCTGGAAATTGAGCCAGGGGGCTGAGTTTGAAGAATGTCTAAGGGTCATGGCCTTGGGTGTTCTTCCAGGCTCGATCAGACCCGTAAGCCTGGTCATTTTTATGATAAATTAAAATCTTGAGTTATAAAAGAGATCAAACAAGCAAGAGAACAGGCAGAGCTAGAGGAAGGTAGCGCTCACTATGGTCACCAGGCAACCAAGGAACAAGGACCTCCCCCCACAGAGCCAACAGAGAGAGAAAGCCTCCCCCTCAGCTGGCATCTTGACTTTGGGCTTCTAGGCCCCTAAAGTGTGAGAAAATAAACTGGTTTGTTAAAGTCACTCTGCTGTGGGATTTCTGTAATAGCAGCACCAGCTAAGACACACCAATGTCTTCCTTTGTTTTCCACGATGAGCCCTAGGGTTGATGTGAGTCAGAATCAACTTGATGGCGGTGGGACAGATTGCTCTAGGGGGCTGATAACCCTCAGGGAGATTAACCTCTAAGCAGCTTGTGTTGACCTCCATGTGTACAGTCATTTAGCATGTGATGCAAGCAGTGTACAAGGTTTGGCATATATTTGGAGGAGACCACCTGGGGAAAACCCCTTTTGCATTCCACAATTCCCCCTTTTGTTTTATATATTAAATTCACAAGAGCTATAGGGGCTACATGGTTATTTTCTATACAATGAAAGCTGTCAAGGCAAAATTGATGACAATATTAATAGAGCCACGCCAAAAATTCAAGGGCGTAGATGCCACGGCGGGAGAGATAGAGCAATAGAAATGTCTGCTTCTACAGGGAGACAGAATCAACCATGTGCTCACTTTAAGGCAGCAGAGCTGTAAGGGGAGAATCTGTGGAAATGATATTTAACGCAGGATCATGTACTTGGACTTTATCTCTACCTTACCAAAGTGGTGGCTTTCCTACCGTGGAATACTAGCTTTCCAGATTCCCTCTGTGATAAATTAGGGAATAAGTCCCAGTCGTATTTCCCTCAGTGTTACTTTCCTGCAGTTCCAGCCTATAGTGACCTTACACACCACAGAAAGAAACACGGCTCAGTCCTGCTCCGTCCTCACACTGCTTCCTCTGTTTGAGCCAAGTGCTGCTACCTCAGTGTCACTCCATCTACTTGGGGCTCTTCCTCTACTTCATTGCCCTGCTACACTACCAAACACGATGT